TTTAAAGACATTAAAATATATGCAAGAATCACGTAATTATTTTTGCATACTTGTCAAAGCAATGAAATTAATCTGGGACACGAATGACGATCATCGTCTATAATAAAAAATCTAAAAAAATCGTCATATATATATATATATATATTAAGAATTCATGTAAAAAAATTCAATTACAACATAATATAGTAAAAAATATTACTGTACAAGTAAAAATTTTTAGGGATGAGCACTTTACTTATTAACTTATATCTTTAAATTACCTCTCTACTTAGAAATTAAATCTATCGAGCTACTTATGTCCTTGATTCTGGTGGACTATATTAAAAGTTTATATATTTATAACATCGTACAGCTTGTTTCGGCTGAGATAAGCGGTGTGTGCCTATTTTTATTAATGCAACTAAACTTATCTCAGTTTAATTTACTCTTTAAACTTTTTTTAGAACTAGAAGAAGATAAAAAGTAAGTTAAACCAAGATTAAAGTTAATCTAGATTGGTAGAAACGGGCACTAGACGGTTTATTTTTCATTCCTTAACCAGTTTCACGATTTTGCCAATCGAGAAATACTTGTACGTCTAGAGAAGAGAAGACAAGATATATATAGAGGAAGAAAACGACGAGATATATATATATATATAAGGGATTAAAAAGATGAAAGCAATAATGACTTATTCGTTTTGAACGAGTCAAATTTATTTCATTTATTTCGTCAACGTGATACATTATATTTCATCTTAATTTGATTTCGCTATTTACGTCACTTTGCGAACCTGAGTCGGCTCCTAACGTTCACTTTCTTCTTCTCTCTATCACCTAAAAATACGATATATTAGCGCTAATATCTTTTTTTCTTTATTAGTGTTCCCTCAACGTAAAATTCGACGAAGTGAAATATTCGAGTAGTTTCGGTCCCCTTTTTACACCGCGATAAGCCTAAAGGAACGCAGAGACAGTCGAATCGCCAATTCGAGATGTAACGATCGTCTCCCGGGGTAGATTAGTATACTGATTCTGTAATTCTCTCTAAGATCCCGTTTTACCAATATAAGACTAACTTTAATCTCAACAGTTCAATTTACTCTTTATCTTTTATAAGAATTAGAAAAAGATAAACAGAAAATTAAATCGAGAACCGAGATTAAAGTTAATCTTCATTTCTGGGCTTTAATGACAGTATTGACATCGCTTTATTGTTGTTACAGTTTTTTTTTATCATTATACATAGTACTTATTGTAGTGTAACGATACCGACACTGTTATTTAGAGTTACAGAACCGAGATACTGAAGTTGATTATGTATCTTGAAACGAGATGGAAATGATGAAAGTAAGCGAATTTACTAGAATATTTATAATTTCATTGGTCTACATCTAGTAAATTTGCTCACTTTTATCATTTTCACTTTGTTTCAAGATATATAATTAACTATCTGGAATTCAGACAACGCGATGGTTACCTTTCGAAAAGAAAACGAACGATTCGAACTGATCGTTATTCCACGCATTTCAACATTTCGCGACTACCGATTTTTAGGTAAACGATTCGATCATTTCATATTCTTGAAAAATATCGCATACGAAAATGAACGAAAATGTTATGATTTATGTTACGTGCTCTCTAAATTCTTTGAAGTGGAATTTCGCTCTAAAGTGTGAAAATTTTGCCATTCTTCAGAAAGAATGGCAGAATTTTCAATATTTAAGAGTGAGATTTTATTCTTTAAAGTGATTCTACTCCAAAAGAATTTAGAGAGTATATTATAAATTTCTCCAACATTTTCGTATGCGATATTTTTCAAGAATGATGCCCTAGATCGCCGATCGTTTCTTTTTTTTCTCTCTCTCTCTCTCTCTTCGATCCCGATCACGATTGATATGTGTAATTTAATCGAACGTACAATCTCGCGTCGCTTGGAATAGGAGAAGAAACATGACGTGATCATTCCACAGCGAATCATTCTGCATCTTTTCGTCTCTTTCCGCGCAACGCATATAAAATAGTCACTCTCTCCTGTTGCGCGTTACGCGATCTTACAATTAGTCTAGTTTACATAACAACTCAATCGAGTTACTATATGGAACATTCGAGATATTCACGTATCCCTTGGTGAACGTAACGAATTAAGGGAGAGACTCAAAGGTGCGGTTCATTTCTTTAAAAAAGTATGTCAGAATATTCGGATAAAAAGAGAAAGTAATAAAATATCTTGTATCTTTTATATTATATTATTGCGGTCGTAAATGTATATACGGCTGTTTAACACTCTTCATAGTATCGATCTCTTCCTCTTTCTTCCTTTTTTTTTTCTTCATAGATGCCCGCTGGCTGATCGCACGCAGCATCGTTATTAACCCGAAACAGTAACGCTCCATTTGTGCGAAAATACAAAAATATCCCTCTTGCACTGCGATATATCAATAGACAGATTTATTATTGCGAGTTAAAGCACCAAAAGCAACCTTCCGGAACAAAACTGATCGTTAAAGCTAGACAGATTTTTCTCTCCGTTCTCTTTTATTTTTATTGAGTAACGCCGATACTGTTTAGGGTTAAAGTCACGAGATAACGATGGTGCTTCCGGCTATATAATATTTCATACATGCGAGAGAAATGTATGAACGAGCGTGCGCGACTAAATCTATGTTCGTTTATATACATATATATACATATATTTTATATATATATACATATACATATGTATCTATATCTCTGCGCAACGCTTCTCTGTGTGAACTTCTACGTATTGCTTTGTAGACAAT